GCGACCGCTGCCACCAGCCGCAGGCCATACCTGTCAAGGGCAAATAGAGAGCGCCTAAGGCGACTCGAACCCACCCCGCCACGGGTGGGGGAATCGGGAGGCAGGCGCTCTAACCAACTGAGCCACCGGGACGGACAGATGGCAATCAGCATGAATTATCACTAAGCTCCGTTTCCCTTAAGAAAATTTTAGCAGCTCCCCTGCTGTGAAGTGCATCTTCTGTTCTGCTTAATGCTTGAATGAATGCACTTCCTCAAAATGCGCGGTTGCAACTAACCCCCGCCGTGAAGGGGGGGGGGGGGGGCACGCCCTGAGGTCTTTGAGAATACCGCTCCGTCATGTTGCGCAATTAAACGCAAATTTTCAATAGCATATGGGACGTCTATCTCGCGTGATTTGACACCAAAAACGTGTTTCTAGCTTTCGGGTTTCGGAGCAACGGCGGTTTTTTGAGGAGCACTGCACGGCGACCTCCGGCCGGAACGGGCGGCGGGCGGCAACTGACAGTGGCGCGGAGTGCGGCTGGCTGACCGACATTGGCACCTTAACGTAGCCATATATAGCCATATGTCACGCTCAAACACATCATTATACACACTATTGTACTTTTACTTGAACAAGGAACACACCTCCTTAGGCTTCGTGCAGTCACAAAGCATCGTCTCGTGTACATTATGTAAAGCTGAAAAAGTGCGATTTTCAGGAAAATTTTCCTTTGACCTCGCGTAAAAGAATCACTTATTGGTCTAACAACAGTCAAGCCAGTACCAATCGCGAAAGTTTGTTCAGATCAATTCCCGGGTACTTTCTGCTAAGCTCTATCTTCATTATTTCGGAAACGCCGGGTCGCATGGACCCCATCCGTCCGCGTAATGAAAACGACGAATCAGGACGAAGGTGAAACCCAATGCGCCACTTCGAAAACGCCAAGCTACAGGTGACATTTGCTGCAAGTCAGGAGCGGCCGCTTCCTGGTCATTGCGGAAGCAAAGGTCAGCAGGTTAAAAGCCATGAAGCCTAATTGGCGGTGTCAGTGCGAACGGTTATGCAGCACTCCCAGAAACCTGCCATAAACACAGTGGACAGGTCTTCCATGCTCTCAGGCCAGTAATTACACGCGGGGACAGTTACCAGGATTGGTGCTCTTGGGCACTTTGCCAGTCCTGGAAACCAACGGTCATTGGTCTTGTTAACCTTTTACATAATCTGAGAAAGGCATTGCGGTTTCCAAGTCACTTGTGTGAGTGGTGTGCGATACCATGCCAGTTCAGTACTACGGGCATTTAAGATAAAACTTTGACATGGAACCCAAGACTTACAACGATAGTGATATCAAGAATTTATGATAAGAGATTGGTGTTAACAAGCGGGGTTTCCTGTTGAGGAGACGACAATATGCAAGACCATTGAGAAAGAGGGAGAGAGAGAGAGAGAGAGAGAGAGAGAGAGAGAGAGAGAGAGAGAGAGAGATAGAGAGAGAGAGAGAGAGAAGAGGTAGAGACTAGAGAGAAGAAGAAAAGAAGAGAGAGATAGAGAGAGAGAGAGAAGAGAGAGAGGGAGAGAAGAGAGAGAGAGAGAAGAGAAGAGAGAGAGAGAGAGAGAGGAGAGAGGAGAGAGAGAGAGAGAGAGAGAAGAGGAGAGAGGAGAGAGAGAGAGAGAGAGAGAGAGAGAGAGAGGAGAGAGAGAGAGAGAGAGAGAGAGAGAGAGAGAGAGAAAAGAGAGAGAGAGATAGAGAGAGAGAGAGAGAGAAGAGAGAGAGAGAGGAGAGAGGAGAGAGGATAGAGAGAGAGAGAGAGAGCTAGAAGAGAGAGAGAGAGAGAGAGAGAGAGAGAGAGAGAGAGAGAAGAGAGAGAGAGAGAGAGAGAGAGAGAGAGAGAGATAGAGAGAGAGAGAGAGAGAGAGAGAGAGAGAGAGAGAGAGAGAGAGAGAGAGAGAGAGAGAGAGAGAGAAGAGAGAGAGAGAAGAAGAGAGAGAGAGAGGAGAGAGAGAGAGAGAGAGAGAGAGAGAGAGAGAGAGAGAGAGAGCGAGAGTGAGAGAGCGAGAGTGAGAGGGCGTGAAAGAGGGCGTCAGAAGGGCGTCAGAGAGGACGCCAGAGAGGGCGTCAGAGAGGGCGTGAGAGCGGAGACTGAGGTGAACGCAGGCCAGTTGCCGCCAGCCGGCGCCGCCGTCGGTCTCACGGACAATCCCTCTCGCGGCACACCGCCCTCTCCGGCAGCCGTCAATGGCATGCGGGCATTAATTAATAAGAGGCGGCCGGCCCAGAGCGCCAGGTCGGCCGGCCTGCCGCCGCCGCCGGAATCAATGTCCGAGGCCAACGAGTGCCAGACAGAACGGCCGCCGAGCTCTGCACGGAGAGGCTGCCCGGACCCGGCCCAGCAATGCCCGCAGCGAGTGGGTCGTGCCAGGGGAGCGGTCGCATTTAACGAGACGGGATATGTCGGGATCGCTACTCGCTGGAGCGGTGCTATGACAAATTAACAATCTGTGTTGCTAGGATCTGCGTGCCTGGGTATAATCATACCTTTGGACGCTTATGGATGGGCCGCGAACACGCAGCAAAACAAATATCTGCAATGCGTCGTGTTGGAAGCCCCTTCAATATCAGATGGATGGAATCATAGTGGAGGACTGCCAAAGGCGTCCATGAATTAGAGGATTTAGAGGAGTTAGAGTGAGTTAGAGGAGTAGAAGGCAGAGAAAAGCGCGCCACAAAATCACATACATAACACAAAGCGCTGCCCGGCCAGTGCACGGCCTTTTAGTCACGGCATGACTTGATGGGGCTGGTCCAAGCGCCGGTGAATGCAGACGTCGTCCGATTACAAACAAAACAAAACAAAACAAAACAAAACAAACGATGCTGCAGATTAGCACTCATTGTGACACAACCCGTGATAACGCCGGTGGTAAGCCAGCGTGCCTGCCTGCAGAGTACGGCTGTTGCACCGCGTGATCTTGCTGCGGCCCAGCATACGAAAATATCGAAGGCGAAGCCATCCGCTCATTTTGTGTCAGAAGATAGTTTAAGCGGCTGTGTGTCCGGAAAGCGACGGGGCTCGCGGCGGACGCAGTTGGTGGCTTGGCGTTGGCTTCTTTAGTTTGCGTATGAGCCACACATGCTAAACTTGGGAACAGGTGGTGAGCAAAATGATATCAAATGAGTTAGTGTTCGACCAGAGGAACAATATCAGTGGTCAAAACATAGGCTCTGAAATATTTGAGGTAAAGCAAACATTTTTGGAACAGAAACCACTACTTTTGCGTACAAATTGACAGATGCAGTTACCTAACAACTGTGTTGGCCCCATGTTTTTGAAATGCCTGGGAATCATATTAAATCAGAACGCATTGCTCCTTGATTTAACTGGTGGAAAATTTATCAACGATTCATATCAACCCGTCTGCTTGACTTGAGTCGGCCCAAAGTTTGGTCGAATGCTTTCACTAGATTTTGCTGAGCACTCACGGCTGTTCGACTTGGAGGATACCGCTTGATTCTTTTTTAATCTGTTCCGGTGCTGCCTCCATGACACGATTGGAATCTCATCGGTGTGACCCCGGACTGATGAACATGAATGATGGGCTGGCGGCACCAATCAAATTCCGTCGAAACTGACGTAATTCAGACGGAGACCACGATTCAATTTCAGAGCAAAAGATAGGCGGCACAACTATACCCTCTACGTTATACACTTCTCTGTAAGACGCCATCTGTCCCCCTTGCCCTAGTGGAAGTAAGTAAAATAAGAAACCGGGTGTGTTAGAAGAGCTGAACGATTTTCTATAAAGGGACCTGCTCCTGCGGGACGTGTTTACATCCAGTCTGACAGGACGGGCTGCTGACAGGCCCTCTAACAATCCAGGAACCATGCATGCCTAAACAAGGAACACACCTTAACAGCCCCTGCTGATCTGTACAGTGATGAAGTGACGTGGGTGAGTGCAACGAAGCACGCTATAGTGCTGAACAACTAGAGATCATTTAAGCCCCCAATATGTTGTGGAACGACCACAGTGCTATGCTGAACATCAAAAGAGGCGCCATGGTACCCGAGGACTATAGATTACAGTGTAATCAGTCTGCTGAATATGTTAGCGCACAACACTAATTAGAGTCCGCTGTCCGCCAAACACCCCCAAGGCTCCCAAATGATGAGTAATAGGACAGGAATTCCTTCCAGCTTCTTACGGCCTATCCATACACAACTACTCTGAGCACGTGCTGAAGAAGCGCCGAACACAAAAGAGAGCCGTAAATCCACATCTGCATAGGCTCAAAGCCTTCTTCGATGATATGCTGTCTGGAGGAAAGATCACATTTTAAGCTGGAGAAAGCTTCTTTAGGATTCGAAGTTACAGTGTTGCTTTTAAGAGCTTTACTGATATCACGTAGAATCCTAGGACAAGTCTGCAACGAAGCTTGTGTAGTCGAGCTATGGTCGCAGTGCGCCCTTTCAAAACTATTGCTAAGGACTAACGTTGCATTAGCTTGCACTGCAATCGAATCGAGTCCCACGTTTTTGGAGTGAAGCACCGATGGTTGTTGGTAATTGGGAAGATAACGAACATGAGTCTGCCAAAACAGGCTCCAGGAAGCTCAGGCTTAATCACCAAACATATGGCCCCGGTTCTTAGCAATCGCAGCAGAACTTCGCAATATTGTTACCAAGGAGGAGCTCATTCTGCCATGAATGGTGTTCATTTGCGCTTGTCACGGCAAGGAAACCTCACTCTCTCGACTGCAGCAATGGACACAACAGGTGCTGGCTCAGTGATGCCGGCTCAGCTACCCTGCCCATTAATTGACAAAATGTCATGCCCCGCAACCGTTTAGTACGTGCAAAGAAATGTCTGCGGCTGTGACGAAAAACTTGTGGCTGGGTCGCTTCTGGATAACAGGATGGCAACTTCTGCAGCGCCAAGTTCAGCGCTTTGTACCTCCCATGCATCCGGCTTCAGCCTTTCTGTTCCGCTGATCGAATCGACAAGACAAATAGTTGGCCAGGTCTTTACTGAAGTCGTAAATCATAGGTACAATTATTGTTGATGTAGTGTTGGTCTATTCGGTGAAGCGCCTCCAGTGACACCGGCTCCTCCATTGACAAATGATCTCGTATCTGAAACAGACCAGAGCGCGCCCACGTCGGTATCGGCGAGTCGGCAAACAGGGGGCAGCGGCGCCGGCACCGGCGTCCGGTCAGCAATCAATACCGGCGAGCCTGGTGTGCAGTGACACTCCCGAGTTCTAATCGCGGCCCGGCTTGGCGGGAGCGCATCCCGACAAAGCCGTGAGCGCCTCCAAACCGGTACGCGCGGCCTTAAACTGAGACCGAGACTGGTCGGCATGCAATCCGAGCTCCAAACGGCCAACAAAGAGCGACGCACGGCAAATAGGAAGAAGAAGCACAAATAAATACACGAAATGGATATTTACTGTCCAATAAAACGCTTTTAATCTTAGCTGTGTAAACACGCCAGCAGAGAATATTCGCCGTTTGTGAGTAGCCATGTGATAAAGGCACACGGTTCACGGCACACAAGGTTCCAACGCTTTTGCGATAGCAACAAGCGGGCACGAGCAATGAACGCCTTAAAGGCGTCGAATCATTCTCACCTCCTCGACCTTTCTGAGAACCCTGAGGATGTTGAGACCAACCAGCTTCTTGACGTCCGTCTCGGACCAGCCAGATCGGGACAACAGTTCAGCCACCAACAGGGGGTACGTGGACGGGTCCGCCAGCCCGTCAGGCACTCTGCATCAAACAGGACAGGGGTTTAAGTGCGGACGTTCGCCACCGACAGGGGGTACGTGGACGGGTCCGCCCGCCCGTCAGGCACTCTGTATCGGACAAGACGGGTGTAAGTACGGACACTCGCTGCCGGTGATGGGTATGTGGACGGGTCGGCTAGCCCGTCAGACACTCTGCGCGATTGAGGGGAGGGTGTAAGTCGCACTTTTTTGTGTCCAGCCTCATCGGGCCACGTACAAGACACATATCTGGCAATGCATGGGTTCGTTGGTGTGCAAGCTGGCGCGGGTCTCTGGTTGGCGATCGCGTCTAACTTAAGCATCTGGAATACACTTTGGCACAGGGAGAAATCGACTAGCAAGTTCTTCACAGATCTGCTACACTGCTTGGCGGCTTTATGAAAGAGGCTTTTACAACAATATATATATATATATATATATATATATATATATATATATATATATATATACCAATACTTTACACATACTATACCATACTATACCCACTGTATCACTTTATGGGTTAAAAATAGCAAAAGGGCTCTGATGCTATTGCCCTCAACCACTCTGGTGTAAGAAGAAACATCCCAATACAGTAAGTGATGCCCCGGATTAATTAAGTCAATGACCATTGAGGAGGAGAAGTGACCTACAACTCGGCCAAACGTGTATCTTTCCACTTAGCAAGCGCGCTCATCCCCGTTCCCCATTTTCAATAAATGCAGCTCAATCACGAACGCACGGCAGGTGCATCAGATACGCTACGGCTCATTGCGGTGTCCGTTACTCAAATGTGAGGCTGATGTAGCGATAAGCGTTTATCCTGCCGCGGATGTAGCGATAAGCGTTTATCCTGCTGCGACGACGCTCAGCGAACTCCGCCTTTGTTTCGCCGTTCCGACCCGCCATCGGCGCTGGGGATCAGGAGCGCGGACCGGCCGCGGCTATCACGGCTACGACGGACGTCGGTATCGATTGCCGGCTCACAATGCCGGCCGGCTGCTCCTGCCATTCATATGCTAACGCGCGTGTCGACGCCGATTCACCTGGACGTTAGCTTGCATAAGAGCGGGCGGCGACTAGCGGCGTGTCAAAACATTGTTCTGCGCTGGTGTGGGCCAGACCTGACCATGGGCAGCGCCATCGATTCCTGGGGGGGCGACAACATTTTTTTCGGGGCCCCCTGCACAAAACTCGACCTCATCAGAGGAGGGAGCTCCTGGGTAGCGTTGTACTCAAGACAGAGACACTGGGGTCACGTGCTTCCTCATCTCCTAAACTGCTACATGGATCAACGGTCATGTAAATAATTGCCAGCAATAAACAGAGACCTTCCGGGTAATACAGGGTTTTTCAACACAGCAAAGGGCCTCCCTATCCCTATCCTAGGGTCTCCCGTTCCAGAAAAGGGCCTCATGGTGCAAGAAGCGGCTTCCTAATCCAGGCCAGGATCCTTCAGATTCACACGAGCCGGATCTGTGGTCATCTGGTGGCTACGGGGGCCTCCTGTTGCTGTGCGTGCGTTGGACTTCCAAAATGAGGCTGCACTTGCCAGGTCAAGACTGAAAACCTCGAGAAACCCTTGGACGCTAGCACACGACTACTATGTATGCTGTTTTTCACAGTAATGCTCAGCGTGTATTTGTTCAAAATTGGCCAGCTCACACCCGCTTGGGAAAGGAGACATACGGGAAGCACAAGACATAGGGCTGGTGTGCCAGGGGTGGCATATTTGCGCAGAGTACCTACTGCTTTAAGGCTGCTTCACGACATTGTTAAACAAACGATGCAATGTTTGGCTATATCGTCGCCAGCCACCAGCAGAGCGCGAGAGAGAGAGAGAGAGAGAGAGAGAGAGAGAGAGAGAGAGAGAGAGAGAGAGAGAGAGAGAGAGATAGAGAGAGAGAGAGAGAGAGAGAGAGAGAGAGAGAGATAAGCGAGAGAGAGCGAGAGAGAGAGAGAGAGATAGAGAGAGAGAGAGAGAGAGGAGAGAGAGAAGAGAGAGAGAGAGAGAGAGAGAGAGAGACGAGAGAGAGAGGCTCTCTCTAGATTCTACGAGGATATCTCGCCGCAGAGATACGCGCGAGACGAGATAGAGCCGCTCTAGATCTAGATCGATCGCGAGTAGTCGAGCGAGAGAGATCGAGATAGAGAGAGAGAGGAGAGAGAGAGGAGAGAAGAAGAGAGAGAGAGAGAGAGACGAGAGCGACGACAGAGCGGGGGGACGAGAGACGTACTTACAGATCAATACCGTCATAGCCGGCCCCCAGACCAATGTGGTCCACGCCGGCCACCCGCCGTATGTGGTCTATATGTGCTGAAACAAAAACCGTCCGGCAGTGAGTGCGGCTCGCTGTCCGGCCAGCACGAGCTCGGGCGTGATGGCGGCCAGGAGCGCGCTCCTGGGGCTCCTGACGTGATGGCTCCTGCACTGGCGTGATGGCTCCTGAACGCGTCTTATTAGGTGCAGCCTCATAGAGGTGCTGTAAAACCGAACGAGCATGCGAGTTGAGCATGAGCATTGAGCATGAGCATTGAGCATGAGCTGCTGGAATGGCGCACCAAATAAAACATCTTGATCGAGAGACCGGACAGTCTCATTTCCAACACGCAGCGGGATTTGGCGAAGTTGCTATGTGCCAGCACAGTTAAGAAAAGTTCGTGCAAACCAGATGCATCCGAACGAATTATGCACCATTAAGTCATTTCAATGAAGTGCGTTGCGCTGTGCAGCACGAAGTCAGAGTAGTGGGACACGCAAGATACAGCAATTACTCAACTAAGTACAAAGCCGCACTGATGAGAGCGCGAGTTATACGTACCTACAACATCAGTAAGGGTAGCATTCTCCCCACAGGTAAGAAAACGATTATAAAAGCTGATCATAACTATCCCGCCTTGCAGAGCCTGAAACGGACAAAATTGTAACTTCGCGCGAAAAGACCGATTTGAGAGAAACATGCACAAAACAAGATAAACAGAAATGCTCGGAGTGTAACCAAAAAGTCATTTCCTGTGCCACAGCCGACCAGGAATAAGACCGCATTTTATTACGCAATCATAAATCGCAAAGCCCATATTTCATGTCGTCGTAATATCGGTCCTTAATAAGCGAGACAAGAAAAGCCACTCATCATTCTGAACTTACCAGCTGTTTCAAAATAACATCGGGCACGTTGCGGGATATGTTGCACAGCGCATGCGCAGATGAGTGTGAAAACATGGCGGGCGCTCGCGACACGGCGAGAACATCCCGCATCGTTTGCGTGCTGGCGTGGCTCAGGTCCACCACCATACCCAGTCGGTTCATTTCCCGAACCACGCTCTGCCAACAGAGGGCATGCATCACGCATAAGCCAGGGTGTCGAGAACAACCGGCAGTCATTTCTTAAATACCGAAACGAACAGTGGCCATCCCAGAGCTGCATACCTGACGCCAGCAATCAGAAAACGGTCACAAACAACGCTCCGCTCGAAAACACGCTGTCAGGCCTGTCACAGCCGGCGAGCGTTCTCAAGAGCGGTCAGCGGCTGAGTGCCGCAGAAACGTGACAAGCAAGACTCGCAACAAGGGTGTCCCGCGGGCAGAAGGCGTATGGTGGCTAACAAGAGCGCTCCGTCCTTACAGCCAAGCTGGCAGGCCAGGAGACTCGAGCCACGGCATCGCGGGGTAAAAAGCTAGCGACGTTTACATGTAAGTCAGGAGGCAGGCATGGGCAAGGAAAATGATGCTCGTTCGGCACGCCAACTGCAACAAATTTTAAAGCTAAGGGCATGCCTGAATTACTAAACCTGGAAATGGGCATCGAGCGTGTTGGAACCTGACCGACAAAGTAGAACATTTCAGATTACTCGCATTTATCAGACCCACCGTATGGTATAATTACAGGCAGGGGAAGACCCAGAGGGAAGACAGTCAGAGGCAGGGGTGAAAAAGCTTCGGATTTACCAGACGTGATCGGTGACCAAAACTGACACTTTCGCAAAACAATTGCTGACAAAATTCCGAAAATGAAAACAAACTTCGGCAGTCAAGTGAATATTGCAACAGATGATCTCAGCTAGACAAAACGCAACGCTTAGTATTGGTCTATGCTCACTAACGCTTGCAGCGCTAGTATGTATAGAGCACATGCCGAAACGTTGACGTTTCGCTGTATGAGCAAGTGGAGCCGTAAGATGCTACCAAACATAGCAGCTTTGATCAGGATGGTTTTTAGCAGGTGACAAAATCATACTACAAACTATACTTTACTAGTGCTGGCGTCACAGATCAGTGGTGACACAGCGCTCTTCCAATGGCCCTCAGATCAATGCTTTTCACGCATTTTTTTCAGCCAAGGTTCACTTCACATACTAAAAAGTATGAAACCTCAAATAACTGGGCTTATTACTAGTCGTAAGAGTCGTGGATGGCCACCGCATCTTGCGATGAACGTGATCAGTTTGCTACGCAGCGTTTTAAAGCGTTGTGCCATTTGAGACAGATGGGCTCGATTGCTCGCCACGCGGTAATGTACTGGGTTTATTGCAAGGCTGTGGCTGCTGTTGGTTGTGTTCATGTCGTGAGAAGCTGACTGGCTGGAAGAACGTAACTAACCGTCAGTTTTTTATGACAGTAAAGTTAAAAAGCCCGCCGACCGCCGAGGATTGTTGTTTGTGGATACCTGAGCTGTAGCTGCAGAGGTAAACGGAAGTCAGTCCTTGATGATAGTCAAAACACACAAAGCACACTTGGATATCATTGCACTACGTCTTGATACTCAGATGCGCAGTTCAAAGTTCGTTTTCATGTTAAGGACACGAAATTTTACATACTACAGAGAGCTGATCGTATGTGTTACTACCAAAAATATACTGCAACAAAAATCTGTGAAGTCCATTGGTTTCGGCGCGTTCTGCTTCCAAAACCAACATATCGTTCTTCGTGTCATACGATGTCACGAGTCATTACGATTTAAAATTCGCACACAACCCACCGCTTTTGCCTTTAACCACGCACTGTAATGCTAGCTACCTACCAAACGCAAAAAGTTGGCGCCTGCTGGTTGTTTGAGCCTTGCTGTCGAGCCCGACTTCGATGGTATTCAGCAGCCATCTTGAACCTCTTTTGTCTTATTTTCTCCGAAATAATTAGTTCGGAATGATTAAACCACCAGACTTTCGGTAAACTGAACACGCGCCACGTACGCACATGCCTGCTATCCCTGGCCCTCCACGATGCGCAGACGAGGATGGTTTTCTGAGCAAAAAAAACAAAACAAGAATCTGCAAAGGCCGAAATCCAGTAACTTTTTTGTGAGGAGGAACTAAGTCCTAGGGGCACCATTGTGAAGCGTGACCTCTCCCATGAAGAAATCCTGGGTCTGTCCCTTAGTACAGGCGGCACACCGCAAAGACAATTGTTCAATATCGCATAAAACAACACACCCGTATAAAGTGTATATTTCGTGTTGCTACGCCGTAACCTCAGTAACTGCAATGGGCGTACGAAACTGATAGTGCTAGAAATCCAGTAAATCGAGCCCTTTAAGACCAGCACCTTTGCATACGCCACACTACCACATCACCAGAGCCTGGTGCCAGAGCAGCAACCACACTTCCCCGCAGCTCCACTCGGAGATCGCAGCCTGGCCAATAAATAAGAGAGGCGCGGCGCCTTCCAGCAAGTGTCCGCGCCAAATCCAGCGGCAACCGGCGCCAGTCACCGTGCACCAGCGGAATATTGATAGCCGCACTTCGACTGGCGCTCGTCGAGGGCTGGGGCGGAACGATGCAAAAACGTCCACAGCGTTTCTGCGCCGCCGCAGCGCCGAAAACAGACATTTGTCAACGCCCAAGCAGCATTAAAGGCGTGACAGGAGCCCGATGGCGGTTGACTGCTGAAAAAGACGACACAAACGCGGAGGTGGTGAAGGAAGCCTAATTGTCGGAAATAGAGACGCAGCTTTTTAACCCACCAACCAGTCGCATCGGACCCGGCCGAAAGCCTGTGGGCCTGTTATTGTGATTATCGTAATTTATCATTACTTATTATTGTAAGGATGATGTGGAATTGAATTGCATTGTTTCACACACTAGCCGTGCCCCAGAATCAGTATCAACAACTAATGAAATATCCCGGAAACTGTGTTTCCAACAGTTTTATCAGTTCCCAACAGTTAGTTCACAGTTAGCATAATCTCATTAGTGGTAATGTACATTTTGTCCATTATACATGCGTTTTTGGTTGCAAGGAGGAAAACGCAATTTGCGAACACAATAACAGGGGGCTCTTACGTAGGATTTGTTTCACTGTTGCCGTAGTTGTCCGTAATTTTCAATGTAAAGGTCTCAAAAGATTTTCGTTCCGCCTGCTTCTGCCACTTCTTGCAATACATGTATCTGTACATAGGTCGGTATAACAAATTCCTGTTCAATATTTGACGTCAATCAACATTCGATATAGATTTGAAAGCTGCGGTCAGCAGGCCACGTGATACGTGCACGGATGTTTTGTGCGGTACTAATTCTGTGCTGTCGCATAATGCATCCACATGCGGACAACAAGCACCACATGACAACCGAAGTAATGAGCTTGAGAGGCTTCGCACAATTTGGAATAGCCAATATCTCTTAAATATCAGACAGTACACGGCAATCGGTTGATGCGCGCAATTTTGCAAGACTTAGCATTGTGTTGCTGATGAGTTATAAGGGCAAAGCCGCTGGCAAACTTAGTAAGGAGCTATTTTAGTTTCCACCCTCTCATCATATTGTTTAAGATGCCATCTGATGCTACACAACTTGCAAGTTCATGTGATTTTATCACTGCTTTCTAAGCAACTGCCTCTGGTATTAGGTATTTATATTGGTATTCTAAGCAACAAGTCTCTGGTATTAGGCAATTAATGTCGTGCATTCGCTAACACTGATATGACGCTTGTGTCGATGTCTAAGATTAAGAAGCGACGCAAAATACAGACTGTTCTTATCTCAAGGGCAATGTTTCACGTTTGGAGGCGTTGAAGCAAGCAGCAGGCGTCGTGAAACAAGCTTTATAAATGTTGGTATACTTTTAAGTAGAAAAGACTGCTTTTAAACAACATAATTTCTTGCGTGATGTTTACGTGATGTCTTCAATGACGCAACATGATTTGTCATTGTTTGATTACGTCATCGTACCCGTACAACATTGCTTGAGAGCCAATTAAACGCCGTTATATCTGGAAATCATGCTCGCGAACGCCAGATATGAATGACTCAGCCATTATATTTTTCTTGGCCTCGATCGCCGGATGGCTTGTGGAATGGTAGGATTTAAATGACGTTATTGTGACGTCACGGAAGTCAACGTGACCTCCTTGAAATGCTCCCCCATCGACGCGGGCTTGTAGTTCAGAAACTAGAGGGGGTTAGGTCTTAAGAGGGGCAAGGCTGTGAACTACGTCGACTGAGCTTCAATATCGCTTTTCAGTTCAAAATCCCATCCTCGACATGTGGAACGCTTCCTTTAACACCTGCAGGTTAATGCCGGGTAAGCGTGGAGGCACAGCCAGAATTGGCGGGCTAGATCTCCAGCTGGCCGTGGCATTTTGCTAAGTTGCGTCTGAAATCGGAGAGCTGCTTCGGTATAGTATGATTATTTAGCAAATAATGTACAGCACGGCGGCTAGCTGAAAGATTCTGAAACTCGTTTCACGGCACATCAGTACGGTAATTCTACTTATGTTACACAGCGGCCATATGTCAATGTTTAAGTTGAGAGATATGTGGTGCACTTGTGTACACGTGCTTCTTAAATACATGAGAAGTTCGCCGCCCATGGCAACAGGGTCACTAGTGACAAACAGCAGCCATGATGGTGCGCAGCAAGCTGAACGCGCTGTAAGCACGCTTGCACACTTGGTCACGCACATACTCAGACAGCACACTTGGCCACTACCGGGTGGCGCCACCCCTCCTCCCCCCCCCCCCCCCCCCACACGCATGTTCACACACGGCGGCCTGCAGCGAGAGGACGGCGCTCATCTCCTCACCAACACGCGGCTGGCCGTGCCAAGGTTACCCGATCACAGTCACCACGTGCGCTGAAGCCGAGCGCGCCTCGCCGTTCGTCCAGCTCCACTGGTGCTGAACGCCGCAGTCACGGCCGACCGGGCCCGGCATCGCCCAGCGCCGGCGTGACCATCAGCCGCGACGCCGTCCGGGCTTCGGGATTGATAGCCGCCCGTGTTGCGGTTCCCCGCATCACCCGGCGTGCCAGATTGCAAACCTAATAACGTTACCAGTCGCATGCGTCGTAAAATACACCCACATTACTCTCGGGACGACCGGCCCGGTCGGCCTCGGTCGCCGCGGGCCCGGGCGGCCCGGCCGGCCCAGGTCGCCGCGGGCCCGGGCGGCCCGGGCGGCTCCGGTCGCCGCGGGCCCGGGCGGCCCGGTCGGCCCCGGTCGCCGCGGGCCCGGTCGGCCCTGGTCGGCCCCGGTTGGCCCCGGTCGCCGCGGGCCCGGTCGGCCCCGGTCGGCCCCGGTCGCCGCGGGCCCGGGCGGCCCGGCCGGCCCCGGTCGCTGCGGGCTCGGGCGGCCCGGTCGGCCCCGGTCGCCGCGGGCCCGGTCGGGCCGGTCGGCCCCGGTCGCCGCGGGCCCGGGCGGCCCGGTCGGCCACGGCTGTGGCCGCGGCGGCCGGCAGCGCGGCCGGCGGCGTCCGCGTCGTGTTTTGCCACGACTCCGGGTGGACGTCGATACCGAACGGGGCAGCGGCGGCGCGCCCCCGCCGGCCGATGGCTATTTATGGGATCGGCCGCGACAGATTTATGCCCCTGCTCGCCGAGCCATCAGCCAAATGAGCACGGCCGGTGTCCACGAGGCCGCCCCATCGATAGGGTGACAACTGGCGCGGGCACTGTCCACCGGGCGGCCACCCCCGCTCACGTCGGCTGGCGCTTTCCTGCCGTCTGGCTTGTACTCTCAGAGCCCCTCTCGTGCTCACCGGTGCGTGGTCTTTTGTCTTGTGCTTTTTCTTCCCCAGCTTTATTATTCTCTTGCTCAGTTTCTATACTTCGTTCCGTCTAGGCATTTGGCTCGTTGGCTGGCTGGCTCTTAGGCCCTCTGCCTTTTTTGTTCCCTTGCTCTTTCGCTCTCTCGTTTCCTTGCCCCTATTTGTTTTTCTGTACGTCGTTTGAGATTATTAAATCCTGCAGAGCAAGAGTGCAGCATTCTCTTCGGCAAATCACCCGGATGCTTTCCGTTCCTGCTCCCCCGCTGATTTATTCAGAGCCAGGTTAGCCTCAGTGAAACAAAGACTAACTGTCTAAGCCCAGATCTTTTGTAGCTAGCCTGCCGAACAAAGTATGCTGTGTACTGCGCCAATGACACTGGTGAACCAATTTACCTTGCAGGAAACTAAAACATACTCATCAAATTTCCCTCGGACATCCAGCAACAGCACAGGGACCATCGTCCATACAAGGGACAAATGTCCCTGGGCATTGTCGGACACAGCAGAGCAGGTGTTCAAGGGGTTTGAAGAAAAAATTGATTGTAGTCTACACTGAATTGTGGTGCGCTTGAAAGTCTGACATGTTGACCGTTCCTGACATTCGCAGCAAAAATATACAAATCTAACAAAAACGTATTGAAACGTGCAACAAGGAAAGAAGGGGTTGGAAAAATGAGTGATAAATATTCTCAAATACAGAAAACGGAGAGGAATGCAAACACAAATGCATGTGACGTACCTCTCCAATATCTGTGAGACCTCTTTGCGCCAACGATGGCACTTCTGAATATTCTGACCTGCAAAAGAGCCACCGAATCATCAATCGTTTTACACCCTTCCAGACTAACTAACAAAGATGTCAACCATCACTTAATTTCAGACGGGCAAAACGTCAGAAAGGCGAGTTCTACTTTCGCCTAAGCATCTTGCCGGGAGCAAATATTATCTCTTGAATCGCGGCGTTCGTTGACACACGGCAGAAACGGAGCACCAGACCGTGACGTCCCCAAACGACCTAATGATGTTACTATGCACTACCAAGTAAACGATCCTCTCTTCCCTGTATATCTCCCGGTCTCCTATTCCAGAGCCGGATATTTATATAATCCCATTCACATTCCTTTCGGCTTCCAAAAGCCGCACGAAGCCTCACTCACGTCATTAAGTGACGTCACGCTGCAGCTGAAACCGGCCCATGTCGGCGTGAGTGCCTCGAGACAGGTCTCGCGACAGTGACCTAACAGTGACAGTGACAGTGACGACAGTTAACCTCACCGCCCGGCGCATGGTACTCGCCTCCGCAAAAGCCGGGTCCCACACCGCATAGCGCGCGCTGAAGTCTTAAACATCACGGCTAGACCTAGATAACCGCCCAAAAACTGATCCTAAGAAAAGTTGTTTTACCGCATTGGGGCGCGGGGCCCCGTCGCCTGTCACCCCCCCCCCCCCCCCCCCCCCCGGGGCCACCTCGCCGCCGCGGCACCACCTCCCGCTGCGGTGCGAATGACTCATGCGGCGGCGGCGGCGGGTGGCGGGGTCGGCCCGGATCGATCCCGACGCGCCGCTGCCGGCGGTACGACCGACGCCGGCCGACACGGTCCCGGCTCCTCCGGGACGGGCGGCGGCGAGCGGCCGCCGGTCGGGGCTGAGCCGGTCCGTCCAGGCTCGCCACTCGCTCCGGCGTCCGGCTGGCGCCCGGCTCCGGCGGCCGCCGAGAGCGCCGCACGCACGGCGGTCACCCGTGCGTGACACTGCGCCGACACCTGGCCCACTGTAGCGCGGCACGCTGCACGGGACCACAAGTATCCGGCCCTGGGATACACGAGAGATAGTATCCAATCCCTGGATACACCAGAGCTATATCCGACGCGAGGGTACGCGTTCACCTTCTCCGGTCCCCAAGCCCCGTGACCTACTGCGTCGCCGGAGACCTGTCTCGGGCGGGGTGTCTCTAATCTCCCCACACGTCGAGCACCGACGCTACTGTTTCGAGCGCGACAGACTCCTGAGTGCGGCTCGGTGCGGGCAGCTGACCAGGGCGTGTTGCAGTTGTGCGTGAGCGTCGGGTAACGCGCCCCGAGCGCGACAGACTCCCGCGTGCGACTCGGTGCCGGCACTGACCAGGGCGTGTTGCAGTTGTGCGTGAGCGTCAGGTAACGCGCCCCGAGCGCGTGCAGGCTCCTGAGCACGGGCAGACTGCTGGCGATGGCGTGTCCTCCCTCCACGCCGAGCAGGCTGGCCATCCGGCCGCCGCCGTGGATCTGCACAATATCTGCCGGCGGGCAGCGTCAGACAAGGTCAGCTCGCCTGAACACCTGTGACGGAGTTAAACAACGCGTTAGTTGGCTAGCTATTGGGGTTTAAGGGCGCGCCAGCTGCTTCGGCTATTTGCGCCTTGAACAACACGTATGCGTACCAATAACGGCGTTCAGGCCAAGGTCAGACCGCTTTGTGCCACTGAGAGTCTTCAGAGCGTCTGCGATAGGACAGCTGAAGGCGAGACAGTTGGTCACTGCGAGTAGATACAGCACGTCTGTATCATTCACAGTCACATCAGGTCAGCTTCAGGCCAGCTTCAGGCCAGTCGATAAGCGTTAAGAGTGCAAACTTCCTCCACCTACGCGGGAGGCTGCGGGAAGCGCAGGCGGTATTAGGTCAAGGTTCACACGGACGGCGTAGCTGCCAATGCCTCCAACGTCTTTTGAAATAACAGGCTGCGCCTGAAACTTCAGCCAGCTCAGAGCACTGCAGACTTGTGGTAGCCCATGAACCAAAACTAGTATGCACCGTGTCAGGCAGCTTCGAGGCTCGACCACCAGTCACTTGGGCTTCCTCACTTATCGTGAAAAGGCTTCCAAGACTGCCAGCTTCCTTCCGTGACGTAGCCACGACTTCGCCCAGGAGATGGCCACATCTAGGCATAGTGAGCTCTTTCAGCCAAATGGGTTCCACTTCGCCGTTTTGGTTTTCCTTATTTTGTTTTACAAACATTTTAAGGCTTGTGATCGCATTTCAACGTCGCGAGGGTCACCTTTTATGTCGTATAAGACTTACGGTTGTCTAAAGCTGCCGCAAAAGAACTGGAGGCTTTGGCTCCAAGAGGGGGGTATGCCCCAAAAGCCCTCCCCCCCCCCCATGGCTACGCCACTGCTCCCTGGAACATGATCTCACAGCGACTGTCACACTCCTCCCTATGACTATGAGGACGGTAGATTGCACGTGACATCCTCAGTCCAGTTCATGAGTGAGAGCGCAATCCGAATGTCAGAAGCGCAAAAGGCGTGCGTCTGATGCTGCTAACATGAGGGATTCACCACACAACTGCAGTCAGATACATGGAAGGTTGGCTCGGCTCGATTCAACCTAGGTCATTGTGGCCAAGTCCGGGCAAAAGCTGGCTCACTGATAGCCGCGAAATGTCCTCGGGAGTCAGAAGACATGCGACACTTCATGATTCTCGCGGCAGCCCTAAATAAAACGATGCGCCGACAAACACCAGAAATACGGACTAAGCATTGTTGAATGAGAGCGATCAAGAGTTCAAAGAACCGCGAACGTAATATGGGAGATTGTGTACACCACCCACTATAAATTATTATCATTGGGATGTCAGCAATTACTCACGACGTCAAAACAAATTCCGCATCAGTTCTATCTTTTCCCTCTAATCAACAAGCAGACACACCTTCCGCCGGAGTTTCCCGGTTACCTTTCGACTTTCCCGCGCGTTGCCCCCCCCCCCCCCCCCCGTACGCCCGATGAGTGACGCATCAGAGGCGTGTTTGATCCACAGTGGCATCAAGGAGCGCCGCCAGCGCTTTTTGACGTCCTCACCGGCCGGCGGCGCCTCCCCGCCCGGCAGCCGACTGCTCGTAAGCCAGCCGCTGTCGACGCGGCAACGCCGGGCCTTTTAGCCGACGACAAACTGCCGGACGGGAATTAAGAGATTCGTCGGATCCGGGTCAGGATCCGGACCGGGATCCGGACCGTCTTCCGGGGAGGGAGAAGGGGGGGGGGGGGTGCCGCGACACGGCCGATTGGATCCGGACGGTCGGGCACGCGCCGCTGGGCGCCATCAGACCGGACCGACGCACTAAGCACCCCAGACGGGTCGGACAGGACGGAAAACATTTGGCAAATATGTCCGAGCTGGTGGGAGTAGGAATGCGTTGACGGAAATGAGGAATCTCCCTGGAGTTTTACAGCTCAAAGCAAGTTAAGCTGGCGTTTGGCCTGCAGCAGTTTATGTACGGTACAACACAATGACATCAATGTGCGTGCCCGGCGTTATGCTCGCTGTATGCTGGGATTGCCATCAGGATTTGAACGACATTGGTGCGTTTATGCTGTGAGCACATGGAGGCGGTTTTCTCGATAGACGCTGGGAGTGGTAAAATTAAAATAAAGGTCAAGCAAGTTTTAAATGGTTAATTACTGCGCTCCACGCACTACATCCAAAGGGCCACTCGAGTAATGCGGCAGTTCTAAGCGCTCAGTGACGTTTGGCAAAGATGCTGATCCTCACCTAAATTAAGCAACTCCGCGTGGCCTGGCTCGCATAATGGTATTTATTCACGGTCCACATGCTTCTATAGAGTCTCAGCATCCCACCGTTTACGTCAGTAATTGAATGCACGCTTCGCTGCCTATCAACCTCGCCACACTTTGTGCCAGCGTATGGTACATGCACTATGACACACGGACGTTTGGCAGCGCGATCAGGCGTTCATGTAGGACGGCGAGGGCTTTTACAGTGAGCAGAGCGCTCTTTTGGCGCTCCGTCTAATAAGAGTGCTCAGACGAACACGAGGTCGCTGCCGGTCCTATCATCCGCAATGCCAAAGCCTACCCTCCTCTTGCGTAGAGGCCTGAAGCCTAAACTACATCATCGCTAGCCGTTTGCTCCCTTCTAGCCTTGTGTTCACAACATACGGTTTTGCAAGCAGAATGACATGCTGCATGAGCGACATTGAATCACCTAATATTCTATCGAGGGCACTAAGACACAGATGGTGTACTCTTAGTGCAAGGTATCAATAGGGCCTCAGCTCGGTTTCCTAACAGCAACAGAAATATATAATTGTGTTGCATTCTTCCCGGCAATGTTTCACATTGTCTTATAAATGTTGGTCATGTGTTATAAATGCTGGTAAAATAAATGCTGGTCAATCCACTATTTCCCTTTGTATGAAAATACATGAGTAGATGCGTACCTATTCAGTATTCAATAAGCATATTGCTTTTAGTTTAGTGCTGGGACAACACCTGTTGAGTAGTTCATAAATACAGGCCTATTTCTCTCCGGCGATCTATGGTTTCTCAGCCCACTGCGTGAGATAGAAAGGATTAACTGGCACAGCACGCTACATACGGTTTAGCTGTTTACACACAGTTTTCTTAAAGGAAGTGCACGACCTGTGGGCTATTTTGCTAAATGTACTGTGGTAACAGCTCAGGGACCAGCTATGTATAATAACAGCACTGGGCACTGGGGAGCGCCACTGCAGCACTAATGAGACAGAATAGCAAATCAAGTTGTCATAGTGTTCTTGTCCGAACTACGCGCTCAACGTGTCATCACAGCACTAGCCTTTTATTTTGCTTTGAAGACCCAGGCTGCATTTATGGGCGATCTTGACGCACGCAAAACATACAAGCGCGGCAATCATCGTAACCTCCACGACTGTACGCGGAGACTTCATGTCGATCCCGTTCAAAATTGGCATGCGCATTAGCATGATAAAGCCTCTCTAAGTCCCCAGGCCCACGAAACATGGGCAACAGGAGGTCAGAGGTGTCCTATAGTCGGCGGCAGCTGACGGCATGCTTTCTTTTTTTGACGAATTCTTTTTCCCTATACTTTCCGAGCCTGCGGGCTCGAGATGATACACTCAGTGCGAAAAGCATCAGAAGAGATATACGTTTGTGATTGACACAGCGGGCAGCGTAAGTCAGCAAGTACGCGAGAAGTAAATTGGTGGAAGTTTGAACCAGTGCGTCACCAGACAACATGGTATGTCGCTGGCGCACACATGTTTTGTTAAAACAGCCTTGCAAAAACTCACCATCCAAGTATGAAATAGTTATCAAAGCCAAAGTGCATTATTAAAGAGTCGCTGTGCTGAACGTGATTGGGATAAATCAAGGCCATAGCAAGTAGTTTCGCTGAAGTTTCGTGATAATAGGATCATCTTCGCATGGTTCACCCGAAACGAGTATTTCCAGCTTTCATAGAACTTACTGCACTAGCATTTCGGGCAACTAGTGCACACAAACATGCTTTGGAAAAGCAAAACAAATGACAACCAGATCCTTTCATAGCGATGAACAGGGAGTACAATGGTATATCTCCCGTAGGAGAGGTTTCTTCAAACTGAAGTTATGATTTATTCGGAAGGAGATTGATGAACTGGCATTACCTTTTGAATTGACGCGTCCGATCTAGCTGAGAGTGAAAAGTACAGCAATGGTGACACACTCCTTTTTATGACCACTGTATTTTTTTCAGCTTACTACGAATTTCATTTTCACACGCACGGACAAACAGCGAATTTTTAAGTAAGTTTATTCTTAACGCTTTCGTTATTTCCCATTTTCTTTTTTCTACGTTTTTATACTTTTACTTTCATATATAATCAAGACGATCTAGTGCAAGCATCGTACTAGAGCCAAACGTTCCATACGTACAGTAGTAACTGCACCTAGGTCCGGCACAATGACAACTGTATTGCCATCATGAATTTCTGTCACAGCAACTCGTTTCTTGTAAACAAGGCTCATAGTGACGGAAGGGTATCGCATTCCTTTCCAGTCACATGAAATAACGTAACTTAGGCTTCGATAGCCGTATTCAGCAATCTACAGCCCGGGATAGCACAATGGAACTTGTGCATAGTGAATCAACAAACCATCTCTTCAAGGCACCGACGCGTGGGACGCCTCGCTAATGCTACGCTGCGAAAATTGTAGGTCTTCCATCTATTTTAAGGTGCTGACTGTATCATACGCGTTGCTTTTGAACATCCTGGGAGAGTTTCAACTGACTCTTACTGGCATACAACCACAATCCTTAAACCGCTGGTGAAATTCTTCAGCGTACCAAGGGTTAAAAGGTGGCCGGTATCGAGCTGAGCTAATTAACGTTCTCCAGGATGACTGCGTACAGCTCACAAACCTGCACATCCACGCTCCGGGGTGACTGTGTACAGCTCCTAAACCTGCACACTCACGCTCCGGAATGACTGTGTACTGCTCACAAACCTGCTCACCCAC